TTAAAGTGGATGGCTTAGCGTCCGCGGGCGACAGGTGACAGCGGTGTGCACTGTACATTCACAGGCTAGATTCTTGTCAACTGTGTTTCTTGGTCTCCACTTCGCGTCGAAAAAAAAATTAACCTATAGTGGAAGATTTATTCGTTGGTAAGGAAAGGAGGAGAAGGAGCAGGAGACGGAAGGGGAGGGGAAGGAGAAGGAGAAGGAGAAGGAGAAAGAGAGAGAGAGAGAGAGAGAGAGAGAGAGAGAGAGAGAGAGAGAGAGAGAGAGAGAGAGAGAGAGAGAGAGAGAGAGAGAGAGAGGAGAGAGAGAGAGAGAGAGAGGGAGAGAGAGAGAGAGAGAGAGAGGAGAGAGAGAGAGAGAGAGAGAGAGAGAGAGAGAGAGAGGAGAGAGAGAGAGAGAGAGAGAGAGAGAAACAGACAGACACACATACAGAGAAAGTGAGAGAGCGAAAAGGGGAGAAAAGAAGGAAGATAAGGAGGAATTACGACGAAATAAGAATAATTCTAGAGACAAAAGACCGAGGCTGCCCATCGAGAGGACGAGCATCAAAGGGCGCCGTTGGGCAAGGGCGTCGCCAGCTCGTCACTCCCCCTGCCCTTCCCGTCTCGCTCTCCCGCCTTCATTTTTTTTTTTTCTTTTCTTTTTATTCTTTCTTTTGTTGTGTGTTTTTTTTTTTACTCCTTTCTTTCTTTTGCTGTGTTTTTGCTTTTTAGCCGGTTTGTTGTTGCTGTTGTTGTTCTCTGACTCATGCGGTTTTTTTTGTGATTTACATTAATGAACGTTATTTTTTTACCATCTTCTCCCCCCCTCCTCTCGATCTGGCTCTCTTTTTTATTTCCGTATTTAAGTCTCTTCATTCACTGATTTACATAAATCATTTGTATTTGTATGAATAATTCTTACATTTTTCCCCTTAACTTGGGCTTCTGCTTTTCTTACTTTCTCGCTGTTTTTTTTTAATGTCGGTCTTTCTATGAATTTTAAATTATTGTCACACCTTGCTTTCAGTGCATTCTATAGCATTCTTCATCTCTTCCATACCATTTTTTCGTCAGTCCAACTATCTCCCTAAAATACCCTTTTTCACATGTATTTTTTCAGATTAACATTACATAATTTATTCAGATCACAAAACCCTTTCTTTACTCTCCTTTTCACTAATAATAACCTCGTTCATTTCTTAATTAATCATTAATTAATAATCATTTATCAGTTTATGTACCTGTGATATCAGTCTATCTAACAGTCTATCTATCTGCCTAACAGTCTATCTGTTTATATGTCTATCAGCTACTTACTTATCTATATATCTATCTATATCTACATATCTACCCACCTACCCATCTATTTATCTGTCCATGTATCTGTCTATCTATCTGTCTGTCTATCTATATACGTAAATCCATCGGTAATTTGCATTGTTCAACATAAAACAAACAGACAAACAAATATTATAATGAGGAGGGGGAATGCCGGAAAAAATAATTTGAATTTCTTGTCCTTTTTTGTCACATTTTTTTTCACAATCTAAAGTGTATGATTAAATAATAATTGGCGACTGTGAGAGAATTAATACATAGATTCTCCCATTACGAGTGAATCTATATTGGATTTTAAATTATTATTAGAAGGTACATATGATATAAACTATAAACATATAATCAAAAATATATCATTAGCTATTTTATTAGCATTATCATGACTCTTAATTTTTAATAACTAACGGACCAAATGATCATGCAACAGTTCTTATTCTCGTTAAATACCAGTTTTATCACTACGACGAAAAATATTCATAATGTTGATTATAAATAAAAAAAAAATGCCCGTTGAAAAATGTGGTTGTTATCATTATTATCACTGCCTTTCTTACAACATATGATAATTTATGCTAATTCATATTCATAATGCTAATAATTTATTTTTACTTCCGCTGTCGCCTAGTCTGGCATTACCATTCTTTCAATAATAGTTGTTGGAAAATATTATTTAAATATATTCATTACCCTAGATATCTATTTATCTATTTGCTCATATATGCCTTAATTTAGATGGATAATCAATAATATGATTATAAAAAAACAAACATGAAAATAAAAATATGACTATAATTATACAATAACAATAATAATCATTATGATGACGTTAATGATAAAATCGATGTTTATTACAGTGAGATGAAACATGACATTTCATCAATAACAACTTTATTTTCACTGTCATTCAAATCATTAATCATTATCATAATCAATTTCACCATTTTAACAGTAAAATTAGCATTATAATTAGTATTATTGACAGCATTATTTTAAACACAACCGTCTACAACAAAAATAATAAAACGGTAATGCTAAATTTGCCGATTGCAATAACGGCAAATTGGCAGCAAGAATGAAAATGATAATGATGTTGATAGTAACAGGTGTAGTAATAATAGCAGTAACGATAATAGCAATAATGGTAATATTAATGCTAGAAGTAACAATAAAAGAAATAATAATGACAGCAATGAAATTATATCAAGAACAACAACAAATAATGATGTTAATAATAATGATAATGATAATTTTAATGATAACAATAGTTATAATAATAACAATAATACTGATTAATATAATAACAATAAGAATAATGGCAATAATTATATACTATTACTACTAATAATAATAACGATAATAATAATAATTATTATCATTATTATTATAACACCAATACTAATAATAATCACAAAAACAATATTAATAATCATATTCCAATAACAATAATAATGATCATAATATTTTAATAACAATAATAATGATCATAATATTACTAATAACAATAATAATGACAGCAACAATGATCGTAAGAAAAATCATGATGATAGTTCAGATAATAATATCAATATGATTATAAGGATAATAATAATAGTAATAGGAGTATTAGTAGTACTAGCAGTAGTAATAATGATTATAAAAAATGTCATGATAACGATAATAATAATAATGATGATGGTTTCTTTCTCAGCGTTCTGAGACTTCGTAATCGTGAAGGCTGAGTTCGATTACATAATTAATTTAATCGTGAAACTTTCTCTGAACCTTAGAAAGAAAGCAGAGACAACGGTGACAAGAATCTGATCAGATCCTACATCTCCGTCTAAATATTTCCGAAGAGACAGTAAACATCGCCAGTACGAAAGGATACGGATGGGAATGAAAATCTTCACTATAGCAAGCGATGCATTTAATCGTTTTCGAATTAATCTTCGTCAGAAATACATTTGTTAACATGGACACGGTTCATTGCCAGCACGTCCGGTAAAACGATAACTGATTAATACGAGACAGGAAGCGGTCAGCAGATAACCCCGACGGGGCCGTATACCCCATGCCCCGCAGCAGATGTAATAAAGCGTTCTATGATGAAACATGAGTTTCGACAGCAGGATCAGCGAACATCGAGTCGATATCCGGCATCACAGAACTTCCATTGAACGAGATGAAAACTTACAGGATCACAAGTAAGCAAAAGTGATCCAAGGAGGAACGAATAATCAAAAAAGAAAAAAGAATGGAAGTTGCAATACATCGCGAAGATAAATGTAAAGAGGGAAAGAAGAGACACACATACACACATACGCACACACACACACACACATACACACACACACACACACACACACACACACATACACACACACACACACACACACACACACACACACACACACACACACACACACACACACACACACACACACACACACACACCCATTGGGCAGTTTCAAATGATTCGATGTCGCGGCAACAATTAGGCGGATAACGAGCGACAGGCCACGGGTGTTACGTGAATCTCCAGCTCATGTATGGCATATAGATGATCTATAATATCGCCTGTATTTATGATGAAGTCTAAACGCCTCAAATACATCTCTTGTGCTGGGAAAATATTCATTCGCCTTCACAATTTTTTACCTCAGACGCAAGAGTAAGTACTGTAGATATTCTTAAACTTTGCTTTCCTGCAAGAATATATCTTTTTTCTATCCCTTTACGAATAACAATATTTTCATAACGATTTCCTCAGTCTGGGATGTCACTTGGGGAAAAAAAACCTACCCCCCCCCCATACAGACGAAAAAACAACAACACCCGAACAGCCAACCAAACGAAACAAAAACACAAAACCACAAAACGAAACAAACACAACCTTTCCCCCTCCCCCCCTTCCCGATCGATCAGGCTTGATTCACCTCCAATAAATACCTTCCTTTCCCTCCTGAAGGCAAGGGACCTAATTGGCTTTGTAGCGGAGGCGGTGTTCGATTCCCTCACGAAAGACTCTGGTGGAGGGTCGACGCTAGCGGAAGTGGCGGAGGGGGGGGGGGAGCTTTGGTGTTTGTTTGTTTGGTTTCAACACTGCTTTCTTTTCTTATCCCTTTTCTTCTCTTTCTCTTTCTTTTTCTTCTTCTTCTCCTCCTTATTGTTATTATCATTATTATTATTATTCCTTCTCCTCCTCCTCCTTATTGTTATTATCATTATTATTATTATTCCTCCTCCTCCCCCTCCTTCTCTACTTTATTTATTATTTTATTCTCTCACTTCCTATTTTCGTTATCTTTATTTCTGTATGACATCTTCAGTGATTAATATCCCTTGCTCCTATCTTTATCATCAATCTTCGTCTTTGTCTATTACATTTTTCTTCTTTATTTCTTATCTTCTTTATCTGCAATCCTTTTTTTTCTATATTTATTATCTTCCATCTTTCTTTTATATTTATTATCTTCCATTTCTTCTCTATTTCCTACTTTCGATTTACACTTTTTTTTTGTTATCTACCATCTTCATCTCCCTCTGCATTCAACTAATAGTTATTTACTTATATATCAATTTTCTATTTGAATAGACCTGGGGCTCAGTTTTCAAAATTATGTTGATAGTTGTACTGCCGTTTCAAGGGGGGGGGGGAGTGGGGGGCGAGGCACTAATAGTTCTTTGGAGTGGAAAAAA